ATATTAACTAAGTTCTACTGACACTGCTTTGAACTTCCTTGCACCGTGAGGTCACGTAGCCTAATTTATATTCATTACGCGAGCCTTGGCCATTAGCTAATTGGTCAGCTGACTAACGTTCACCGCCCAGCGTCTGCCTTTCAGCCAATCAGCAAGGCTTACTGGCTCACTACTAATTAATATTCACGACTCAAGCCTTTATCATAGTAGAATTTATGAACTGGCGTCCTGACTAGTAGTGACGCTTAACTAGCTTTGATCACAGCGCGCACGTAGCTACCTCAGCAGTACATTAATATTGGTTGTTTACACTGTATGCCAGTTTAAGTACACTGTCCAAAATTAGTGGTCTTAATATTTAGATAGCGAGACTTCGCTGTCTGCTCTTTGCATTTCAGAAAGCATACCAGGAATTTCAACATTATTTATTAGTCTTCTGTAACTTTAGCGCATATTTAGGAATTCCCGCTCATGTTGTAACCAAACATTTTATATTTAATGACGAACGAACTGATATGGATTTTAAATAGTAGGCTGACAAATGATGTTTTTAGCAAATCCACACATTCTGTATGATAATAATGAACTCTTTGTTTATGGTCTGGCTCTACTGTAGATGACTACTTTTTCGGCTTCAAGGTATTTTTTTTTTTCATTTCATTTTCGTTTTATACGGTTTTTCGTGAATTAAATACTAATTAACAAGTTAAATCTAAGTGGTCAGAAGCCAATGAATAGACCAGTTTGTTTGCAACCTCGCAGTTCACACAAAGACCTTATTTGCTGCCACATGTCATGCGTTACATGTCAAACAAATATGAACAAAACACTTTTTCTTTGAGCCACTTCTCATAAACACACCGGAGAAACGAAGGTATGTGTTACATATATATTAAACGAATTAAAATGGTATTTCAAGCATCCACAATATCCATTTTTGAGTTGCTCTAGTTCTCGCCTTGTTGACATCAGCTTCGGCCAGCCTACTGAAAACGTATGATCACACTATTGGTTTAGGTTATAGTCGATCACTTTTTAAGACCCGCCTCCAAACACAGTCTCAACAGCAATTGGACAGAAAGCTTGTCAATAAACATGACGCAATTGTATTGCCGCAAACCCCGCCCTCCCTATGGCACAGAAATGTTGACTGGAACTAAAAAAAATGCGCAGTTTACATTAAGTGAAATAATTAAAAGTATAAAAAAAAAATACCAATACAGACAAGCCAAAGGATTCTCGAACAGGTTTGATAGATGTCAGAACAACACAGCAGGGTGCTCCGGCTGTACATACCGTTTAATCCAGGTTCCTCGTTGTTGTCTGCTGGAGCAGCAGCGTCGGACATCGTGGCTCTGTGTTGCGCGGCTTACATAAAACTGTCACTGCACGAACACACTCTGCGCTCACATTTGGACCTGCGCGCTCACGCGTGTCGGAGCCTGATCACTAATCGGACGCTCTGTGAAGGGGGCGCTTTTAAATTCGCTAATAACGGCCTTTGTGGCTGACCTCAGAACGGTTATGGGAGCGCAGATTTCCTGCAGCGCTAAAATGACGCAAATTGGTTAATATCTGATAACAAAGACACTAACATTACGTAATGGACTCAAAAGACTGTTTATCTATAATAAACGCACGTGAATTATGAACACAGTCTCTATCAATAAACTATTATGCCGTATGGCAAGCCAATTTAACATTTATTTCTTAAAACAAACTAGCATCTATTGTTGTTGCTGATACTTTTTAATTACTTGCAAGTCATTCAATAATGACCACTATCTTTTTCATTTTCATTAGTAAGTTTCCATAAGTGTATTCTTTTGCTCACTAGTAGCTACTTTTCCATTAGATAGTCACTATCCTGATAGTGATTTTTCCCCTCACTGATACTGGTAACAAATTGTAAATTTTAGCCATTGATTTTTGTATGCATCGGTGGTTCATATATTTACTGTTCACTTTTAAGTAGTATATACTGCAATTGTTGCTAATTGCATTAGTTTAGTGCTTATCCTTTAGTTACTAATAACTACATGATCCCTACGCAGTGTTCATTGCTCCCTACTCTCTGAGCAGGGGGAATCCGTTGAAGTTTACTTCACTTCGGAACATGGGCTGGAATTGGGAACCTGATGTAGCCTATTGTAGTAATGTTGTCTCTGGTCTGTGAGTGTAAATGCGTTCAGGGGGCTTGGCTTTAGACGGCGATTGCAGGGAGGGTGGGACATTCGCTTTCAGTGCTATCAGGTTAAAGTTAGCATTTTCCAAGATCTCCTATTGCACCTTTAACTCTTAAAAAAAAATGCCAGCCACCACCAGCATTTTTGATCATTTTCACAAAAGTTTAATGGCACCCAGAATATTTTTTTGTATGAATATCTGAACATGCAATGTCAAAACAAAGAACAGAGCCTCTGCTTAAAAAAAAACAAAAAACCTTTTTATTCTAGCTTCATGCAATCTATTTTTATCAACACTGTGGGTAGGTTTCATGATAAAAGCAACATTTTGATGAAAATCCTGAGAATATTGTGTTTTTGTAAATACTACTTCTGGATCAGCTTCAGAATGAAGATCAACACATAGATAAAATATATTGCTTCTGTCAACACATCCACAGCATGCACGGTCCTATACCACTTCCTGGATCGTCACTTCATTCGGTTAAGTTAGGCTGTTTTGATTTATATGCTGTTAAATGCTCTATGAATATATTATTTTACATATTAATCTGCTTACATACGCGATCGCTTGTTTTTGGTGCTTCTTTGCTGTTTTGATCCAGACGTTCAGTACTCTTTCAGAAGATGCACAATAGCGCCTCCTAACGTACACCAGTGAAAACACAGAAAGCGGAAAATTCCATCAATGGTTATACAGTATTGCAGTAGTTACTAAACGGATGGGCAACTTCGGTCCTGGAGTGCCACTGTCCTGCAGTTTAGCTCCAACCCTATAATCAAACACACCTGCCTGTAGCTTTCTAGTGATCTTGAAGACAGTATTGATTAGCTTGTTCACGTGTTTGATTAGGGTTGGAGCTAAATTCTGCAGGACAGTTGCCCTGCCAAAAAGGTAGAAAGCCACACATGGGTGAAACGTTCACAATTAGATCAATAGCATGCACTTACCATTTAGATAAGGTTACTGTTTTTATTATAATTTACATTCGAACAGTCATTCTGACCATTCATTGTAAGATAGTATTTTATTTAATAAAAAAATGTCTAAGGATGTTTACACAACAGTGGTGAACTAAAAACTAAAAAGTTTGACAGATGACAATGATGTCAAAACGATCCCTGTTCACACGGATCCGCGAAAACAACTAAGAACACTGTATTATGTATGCCAGGCCAGTAGTAGTCATTTTGTAAAAAAAAAAAAAAACACTAGATGCCCACACATATACCTATAGACTGAACACGTTTTACGCCTGAACTCACCTTTTTCACAAATTTGTGTGTTTGTAGTTTACAGAGATGATAGCAGTATCATTTTCAAAAACTTGTACTTTGAAACCCGTTTTCAAAAGTTTGCATTTTCAGGCCCTCAAAACGTTGTGTAAATGAACAGCAAAAACCCAGAGTTTTCCATTTTTAATTGAAAACAGCATTGTGTAAATGCCCCCTAAGACTATTAAAAAAATATATTTACTTGGCAAAATGCATGGTACTGAATAATTTTTAGTGAAATTAGTACCAGTGACAAATCTGAAATGCTAAAAGGGCTTGCCATACATCATTGGCATGTTAAGGTCTCATAATTATGTGGGCATATTTCTGCCTTCACCATGCTTCCCCCCCCACGCCTAATCCAATATTAAAAAGATCTGATCAATGTTGTTGATCTATTATGAGCTTAAACATCAGTGAGAGGACATTTGGCACTAAAATGCTGAAGCAACACTTAAACTCACCATTTATCTAAATGGTCAAGTGCAGAACATTCTTTATGGTTCTCAAAATCCTTTAATATCGTATATTAGTTTGACAGCACTAATGCTTTTCAGTTTTGCACTAGGCATGCTTTGCATATTCAAAGAAGACACAACTCCCATTTAATTGTTTGTTCCGTTTATAAATACCATTTTGATATCATAATCTCTATAATCTTTCTCAATTTGTAACTCTTGAGATAGAGTGTAGACAGAAATCGGGCATGGATCACAAAGGAAAATAAACCCTGTAAGGCTGAATGACTCGTACATGAACGAGCAGTCCAACTGGAGTGTATATGCTTGAACAAATGTAGATGTTACACTACTACAGCAAACACGGCAATGCCGTCTATGCCACACAAAAAAAACAACAACAGGAAAAGCTCTTTGGACCAATGTGATGGCGGGTATGAGTGCGGGGATATCTGAAAAGAAACAGCCGTAACCTTTTGTAGCTGTAATGGAGTGTAACGGGACAGTATGAAATGTAATGAGAACTAAAAAAAAAAAAATTAAACATTAAAAAAATTTAAACTAAATTAAAACTAAACAACTTGGCAGTTTCTCTGATAAGATTAAAAACAGTTACAATGGCACAAACAACATATGGAGGATAAAAGGACACAGGGACACATCCACATGAGTTCAAATTAGTTTTTATACAGACACCTTGAATAAACCAAAGCCAAAAATCAAAAGAAAAAAAAAAAAAAAAACATATGGTTGAAATCTGTCAAGAGATTGCCGCCCATTTCATCCCTGGGCTCGGACTTGTGGGTAAGGGGAAAAGGGACGGAGGGTACAGACACAGGTTGGCACAACATCACCAGAGCAAGGCGCGTGTCATGGTGCCACAGAGGCCGAAGCCAGGTTGCGCTCTTCTCCAGACCAGTCTGAACCAGTTTACTCAGTATTGGCAGCCACTAGTTGGCTCGACTAGTTCATTCTGTCCATATATGCTTGAACTTTTCAGTTTCTAAGCTATTTTATTGAGAAATCACAGAACATGTACGCGCTACTGTCTGTAGCCTGTGTGTGTGCGTTACAGTGCAGAATGTGATGATGGTGGCTGTCACAGAAATGATTTTTGCTAGTTCTTTTTTTTTTTCATTTTCACGTAGAGAGAGAGAGAGAGGTTCAGAGGTTTCCTTTCCCCATGACGACAGTATTAGTTCACTTTTTCCTGGAAGATGTAGAGGTTGTTGGTGGTTGCCACGGCGATGATATTTTCCTGCGGGTGCCAGGCGGTGTGTAGGATCTTCTTGTTGAAGTCCAGGCTGTCCACGCTGATCTCATCCTTCTTTCGCTTGCCGCCTGCGCAAACCCTGCGAGGCTTCAGCACCTGCCGGGGCTTGCAGCTCTCGCGCGAAGCCTCCAGGGTGACGTCCCGCTGCTGGCTGCGGTCCAACATTCGGAAGAAGTTGTTGTAGGATCCAGTCATCACCACACTGGGACAAAAGAATAGTTATTCTTATATACATCATAGTTATTCAGGGGGGCAAAACTTGAATCTGATACAGTTAATAAGCCTCAATATAAAAAAAGATAATGGAAGTTTATTTAAAAAAGTGTGTGTGATTCTCCCGTTCAATTTCGAGCATCCAGTAATATAATCACACGTCTTGTGGAGCGCTTTCAGAGTATGCATTTATTTGTCATTTGAACTGTTTGGAAACGGAGCGTAAATGTGGAAGTCCTTCAAAGATTTCTTATCCTGTTGCGCCCTCTATAGGACCAGCGACTAGTCGACGTCAAGCTTAAATCGTCATGGCAGAGCAATGAAGTCGACTAGTCGGTGCAACCCCTAGTATATACATGTATATATATAAAATCTAATGAGACATTTTAGGTAATTTTGCAGAAAAATACTGTTAGATGTACAGTTTTTGGAAGTGAAAAATGTAAAGTTTCCTTCTAATTTACAGCGAAAAAGAACGTAAATTGACATTCCCAGAATCCCAGCTTACATTTGATGGCTTTTCGTTGAAATAAGTTTCATCTTTCATTTTTTCTCATCAATTATGTACGTTAGGGTTTTGTTACATCTTATGTTGTTAAATTAATGTTTATTGCTTTATTCTAGTGTCAAGTTTGTTACCACGGTGGTGTTTTGCGTTTTCTTGTATGACATTGTGCACCTTCTATATATTAGCATTTACCTCAAGCTTTTGGAAAATCTATTGATAAACTTTAATTTCTCTTTATCAACTGAGTTTTTAAGGTGGTTGTCAGAAAAAAAAAAAAAAGGTTCAGTTTGTGAAAACAAAAAACTCTAAACTCTTAATTTTAAATGGTTAAAATCTGGCATCCACAGCTGCCGTTTTATTAGTTTTTTTTTTGTGAAATTCACATATATACATTTTTGTATAGTGCTGCCTCAGCTAGTTCTAGGCTAATGGGAAAATTGCAGATTTCTAGGAATGGGACGGGATGGCTGGCTGGCTAGTAGTCCAATAATAGACCAGATTGTTGTTAGTGACTAATTTAGTAGAGGAGCAGTGTGTTCAACAGAACTGACGTGTCTTCATGACATGCTAACCCAATCTTCCACTGCCCTTGACCAGCATTCAGGCTGTCTGAGAGTGATTAGAGGTTCCCTCCAGATAAGAGCCAGTCTGAGCCTCAACGGAGAGTCACGCAGGCTCAGTAGCTGGTCTAAATGTTGACTGCCACCTTACACTGACTGACTGATGGTCTTAAATTGAAAATGAGCCTTTATTACAGAAGTACCTACAATAACTCATACTTCATCTTGTAACTACACACTGCTGTTTAATGCTTGCTTCTACATTTCACCCTGCTGCATTTTCTCAAAACATGCGAACAAAACAATAAAACTAACTTGATAGAACCGGAAACATTTCTGTGCTCTCCTAAACTCTGTTATTCATAATTTACTAGCTAAAAGGATGAATTCCTATATTTTAATGTAGTTACAGTATAATCAAGCTATCATTGTATGCAGTTAACTATACATTTCTCAGACAAAATAGCTATTATAAACTACCACCATTCAAAAGTTTAGGGTTGGTAAGATTTGTATTAAAGACTTTTTGAAATGCTTTATGCTCACCAAAGCTGCATTTATTTAATTAAAAAGACAGTACAAAAATATTGTGAAATATTATTACAATTTAAAATAACTGTATTCTACTTAATATATTTCTAAAAGTAATGTATTCCTGTGATCAAAGCTGAATTTTCAGCATCATTACTCCAATCTTCAGTCACATGATTCTTCAGAAATCATTCTAATAAGCTGATTTGCTGCTCAAGAAACATTTCTGATTATTATCAATGTTGAAAACAGCTGTGCTGCTTAATATTTTTGTGGAAACTGTGATTCATTTTACTCAGATTCTTCGATGAATAAAAAGTTCAAAAGAACGGCATTAAAATAAGATTTTTTTTCTTAAACATTAATGGAGCCCAATTTTTTTTTCACAGTAATACAGAGCAGTTTGCGAAAGGACAGTTTAGGAGAATTATTATTATTATTGTTTCATCTCATAACAACAACAACAAAAAATTATGTAGCATTTTGTTGGAAAATAGTACTTTGGAACTGGAAGAACAAGAGAGCACCATTTTTACCCTGCTGATAAACGTAGTCAGCAGTGTCGCTGTTTCCAGACACTCTTGTAGACCCATATTTTGCAGACACTTTTATACGAGTCTGAGAGTTTAAGCTAGCAGTACTTTTAAGTGTTTACATATACTCAAAACGAAGTTCTATTTCGTTCTTTGTTTAGGGATAAAACTAAGTTCGAAATACATGAGCTGCAGTATACTGTTATCGAACATTCTGACGCCGCCCACTCTGATGAAAGCGACGTTTAAACTAAAATGTAAATATGTGCTGCACGCTTTCCTCTCAGTAACAAAATAAACACAACAAAAATGGAGAACAGCATGCATTTTAAAAAAAATATAAAAAGCATCTGTTCATAGCAACATGGGTATGTTTGCACAGGCTCTGCAAATTAGCACTCCCATGAAGTCACGTCACATGTATTTACATAGCACTTTATTCAATATATTGCTTAAAAGCAAGCAGCAGTATTAAACATGAAAAACGGTGTCAGTGACTCATTTCATCAAAAGCAAAACTTAATTTGCTACTATAAAGCGGCTCTCCACTGCGCAGACATCTCACCTCCAAGGACTCCACAGACTAAATGAACACAGAAGAGTTCCGCATGAAAGAAGGCGGAGCCTCAGCTCACACCTCCTATGACGTAATCGTCACGGACCAATGGTAGTACGAAGGTTTTTTGCAGCCGGAACGAACTTTTCCTGAAAGTTCGCTTTGGCAAGCCTTTTCGAACTCCCAAAATGAACACAAAACGAACTTCGTTTTGGCCAGATTTTGTTCGAAATGACATCATCAGTCCGTTCTTCGATTTCGCTTGAAGTATATCAGGGCCTTAAGGACACTCTTCTATTATGGAAATGATATAATCAGGGTATCTGCAGGATTTTTAAGCTCAAATTTAAGACTTTTTTAAAATAATACTTTAAGACCTGCACAAATAAAATTTATATCTTATGAGCGCAGTAAGGCAATGTCTATGGTAACATATGAATCTGTAAAATGACTGTAAAAAGAATGATTACCATTCAGATACAGGTTTTCACAAAAACAAAGAGTTTTATAAAATGATAAACTTCACATTTCAGCCTTTAAAAGAGTCAAAAGTATCAATTATTATTAGTAGGGATGCTCCGATCAGGATTTTTGCAGCCGATACCGAGTACCGATTTCTTGTAATGGTGATCGGCCGATACTGATGCCGATTCTGATGCTTCAAGGCAAGCTTTATATAACATATGCAATAATGTTCAGTGCTTCCCTCACATAGACTTTACCTGGGCGGGCCACCCAAGTATATTTGGTAACACGTTTTTGCTTTTCATTATTTTTATCCTCTTATACTTTTTTTATCCGCCCGAGATGATGAAACCATCCCGCAATCGATTAGAGGCCGTTCACATGTCACGTCTAAAAACGCATAAAAAACGCTGGCCTCGTTCTCCATGAAGATGAAGTTTCAGTTAAGGATAAATGGATTTCCAGCACTTGCTTTTACTCTACTACTAGATATATTTAGGGAGATGAGAAATAATAATAAAAAACCTGTACAGTTATGATCAGCTGTTCGTCAATCTTGGCTGAGCTTTCGATCTCTATTTGAGTGTCTACATTTAAAATAACGCGCTTGAGCGTGCAAAAGACGCGACGCGAAGCGCCTACTCATTCGGTGTCCATGAGAACGGTTTACTCCCACTGACAATCCCACATGAGCTGCAGAGGCCCGCAGACGCGGTGGATGGTTCACAGACAAAGGTTACCAGGTATGTGTGTGTGCCTGTGCGTTTTTGTGATGTTTGTTCCACATTGCATTTATAAGATCAGTTAGGCACATCCAGAAAAATGAATAGATCTCTATGGGCCTCTGCTGGATGTATGTGGTAATTTCAAATTTTTTTTCTCTCTAAAACTGTATTTCCTCCAGATTTTTCTGTAACCAGCAGATGGCAGAATTCTGCCCCTAACACCTAGATCAATATCCAGAAACAACCAATTTTGATCATCATTAAAGTGTTTTTTTTTTTTTCCAGAAAAATGTAATATTTCAAATGCATGCTAATGGTGTAGATGATGAATTTTGAGGTAAATGGATAAAAAGTACTTCATATCCCCCTAAACACAGCATAATCTGTATCAAAACTAATTTCAATAATTATTTATGTTTATTATTATAATAATTATTGTTAAAAGTCACACAATTATTTGTTGTTTGTCACATGTAGTAGACCATTAGATGTTTTAGTAATGAAAAGTATCTACATTAAACAAGTGTGAGCTCAAACTTGATTTTTACCCCTATTTTGAAGTTAATGTACTCTGCCTTTGCATTGTCTGCAAAATGTGAGAAGTCACACCAAGGCAAAAGGCAGTAACTTCCACATTATCAATATTTGGTTGCTGATCACCATTTACAAATTCGTTATAGTAACACCTGTATAAAATCTAGTGATCATGGGCTATCTCATATAGGCTATTGCATATACTAATGAGACTATTAATTAATTTATTTTTTTTGACCGTAACAAGCAGACTAAACGTTTATTGACTATAAGACTATACATTTATTTGCTATTCTCATTAACGTAAAAGAATGCTAGACATAGCATAATTGCTTTTATATTGACTTGTATTAAATAGCCTAAACTAAAAGAATGACTTGTGGATTGATGTGAACGCCAGCAAGCAGGAATAATGCTCAGAATGGATTAAACATCTCCGATGACGTTCATCGCCATGAATTGATTTTATCAGGTTACAAGAAAAGGTAGGATATGGATTTAATTGCGAACTGTTAGTAGGCTACTGATTTTCTGATTGATCACGCTAGCTACGGCATTCGAGTCCACACGCGTCCAACTAAGTGACATCCTGGTGAATAATCTGCATTACAAAAAGAAAAAAGGTTATTCACGATTACGTAGCCTATTGCTACCAATGTATCTAGTCTTTACAGTGCTTTGTTATATGGAGCTGTTTTGGTAGAACTATTTAATAAGTTTGTCTACACCGCAATTAAAATGCAGCAGACTTTAATGGACAGTAAAAAAAAGGCAGAACACCGTATAACTTCCAAACCGGCACCATAACTTAATTTTGACGCGCAGTTAAACAAAGTGAAAGAGCCATAACTGCTGTTATATGGTGTTCTGCCTTGGTTTCTCCGGGGCTTTTCGAAGTTACGGTTGAGACGACTAGGGATGCAGCGATTAACCGGTTTCGCTATTAACCGCGCTTTAAAACGTCACAGTTAATTAATCGTAAAGGTTCCGCTAAACCGAGTGTTTCTGTTACACGGAACGGAACTGTTGCAGCTTGCGCAAAACGAAAACAAAGTTACACTAGCGGTGCACCAGCTTAAAATGACGTGCTTATCAGAGGCACGGAGGCTACTACATGCATTAGATTAACTGTGACAGAGGGACCAAACAGCGAAGCTTTATTTCCACCAGAGAAATGCCTGTCGATAGTGTGGGACCATTTTGGGTACACCAAGAATAACCAGGGTGTCATTTCAATATTGCTGTAAAACACTGCTGCTAAAGAGCGAATACATAAGGGATAATGCACGGCT